TACTTTCTATTTCTGTAACAATGATTTTTTTTCACATTCGATACACGTTATAATATAAATGTAAATATCTAAGTTGTGTATAAAACCAAACCATATTTCATTGAATTTTATCTTGACCAAACTCTGAACTGTTATTGATCCCTGATAAATATTTCGTACATTTATTTTAAAAATCACTATTCAGGATGATTTTTGAAGTAAAAAAACTAAACGTTTGTCCGAGTGCATAGTTAAGCACTATTATTAATAAATTCCTATCCGAGAGAGAAATCTCTTAAATGCTTCGAATTTACATCGAAAGTCGAATTAACCAGAAACTTATTTTATTATCAGACATTTATTTCATTTTTAAAACCCTATTATTTGCGAAGATACAATTTACTTGACATCCTCTTCTACAGTCCTTTTTGACATTTAACGAACGTTTCATTCCCGGGAAAGAAATTTTTAAAAAATGCTTTGCCTAAAAAGGGAATTGTTAGAAAAAAGTTCGTAAATAATTTCCAAGTGACTTGCACTGCTACTGCAGCTGGTTATTTATTTATTTTTTTTACATTATCGACTGGCAAATTCTATCGATTAAACTGCTGCAAGCAACTGACTAGTTTTTATCATAGCAATAGTATTACAAGCAAAAAAATTCACATACCTTTCTCTGGTAAATTAGCACCGAAATTCAGACAAAAGCAGGCACACAATCAACAGCAACAATTTACCAGAACTGACCACAGCGGCAGTAGACACTGAACTGTTCGTTTTCGCTGAAGATTTCTTCGAACCCACGTTGATCTCTCTCAGACAACGTGTACAATTCGTTCATTCACCAACTAAGGTTGCAACTTAAATTGGAGATAACACGTCAGATAAAATACACACTTTACATTGACGAGTTGACATTTATATTGAAAAATCTTATTTCAGTGTACAAAATGTTTGCATATTACGGTCAAGTTTTATCAAATGCAGGGTTTGGGGCCCCCCTACAGTTTTTTAAACGAAAAAAATATCCAAAATTTCAAACGGAGTAAGCTTGTTAATATCTGATGAAAAATAGAATGCGTTAATTTGTATAATAAAAGTGGGCTGATGAAAGGCACTTTTTGATGTTTTGTTTTAGATTAATTTAAATCTTGAAATAACAATTTTCCTACCCTCGAGAAGATAGTTTAGCCCTAGAGTTTTCTTGACAGACGCGAGTTTTTAAAAAAAACTTAGAAATAAAATCAGAAAAATCGTTTACTTGAAGTTTTATTCTTCATTAACAAAAGTTATTTGCGGCGTTTGAAGATCACGTTTCGAGGATCATCCTCTCGAGTTCAGAATCCTCAGAAACTATATAAAAACAAAGTTGGTTTTTTTCCCCTGTTCCTATCACTTCTTATATCAAGCACAAGTTAAGTACTGTTAAAACACATTTGACCAGATAAACAACGCTTTAGACAATGTATCGAAGCTAGAGTATCTTCGTATTACTAATTTAATTTTACATCCATTAACAAGTCTTTTTTTCATTCTTAAAAAATATTAACAACATTTTATCTTATAACATGTAGGCGTGAAGAGGAAAAATTCTCATCCCCTACAATCGGCGAAGCTAAGGATGACAAAAAATTTAAACTAGAAAGAAAAAAAAAATTAAATTATACTGTGGTTTTTATTTTGAATATTTTCCTATCTGTCGAAGTGAACACTGGCCGAAACCCTTTTAAAAAAGAAAATTAAAAGAGAAGAATTTTAATGAACATTAATGGAGAAGTTAAAATACACAAAAAATGTTAACAATAACATAAACACAGCAGTCAATAAAACAAAATATGTGAAGACTATTTTAAAAAGAACACAGTTAAAACATTTAAATAAATAATTTAAAACTCCAGCAGTTGAAAATCACTTCCACGCCTATTGTTGTATAAGATTTTATTTCTATTTATTCTAAATCTTAATGTTGTCCCTTCTTAAAAAATGATTAAATTTGCGGGTAACATTTTATAACTATAAATGAAAAGTGTTAGTGAAGTTTGTGGAAAAACCATGAAATTCGAAATTTCTTCCTACAACAATAACGGAAAAACTAAAAATTTGTGCTTCCAAATGTCGAGTGATAAAAGTGGTAAGCTGGAAGTTCTAGAAACGGTACAACTCACGGAAGTCGTTTAACGTTCACTTCGGGCGCTTCCAGCGTTGACTCGGCAATTTGAAATTTTGGAAAGCTTTCTTGGAAAGTGCTTTCTATAAAAATGCATTTGTAATTATGCGGTGGATAAACTCAAGGATGTGTTTTAAAGTCAACCGAGGCGGAAGGCCCGAGCCTCGCTGTGACTTGGATCCGGCGTGAGCGAAGCGAGAAAAACTGCCTTTGAAAGTAAATTGGCTTACAACGCGCGAGACAAAGCATTAATGAAGGGCGAGCATGAAAATCGCCTACCCGTAATGTGTTTATTCATTTCTATCAGAGCGTGTAGCCGTAATATGAGAGAGGCTTAGGAGACCCGTCTCCTGCCGCTTCTCTGCGGATGTACACGTAAATGCCTATTTAATCAAATAGAATGGACTTTGGCTCTACCATTGGTAAAGTATAGTAATATAGATTGATTCATTACTTTGAGCTTTGGACGATACTACTTTAAATATATTATTGCATTTAATTCATCAATACAATTTAAATACTAATTAGAAAAATTCTATAATTATTTAGATAAATACTAATTAAATTTAAAATAATTTAATTACACCTAAATTATAATGATATTGTGTTAAAAGAAACTTTCTAAATTAGTATTGAGTTATTACTATTTATTGATTCTCATATTATCTACGCACTAGATACGCATTCGTGACATGGCTACTATTCGCTAACACTTTCTACCCTGTACACCTCAAAGCCGACCTTCTGAAAGCTTCGCACTTAAAACAATAATTTAGATGAATATATTCATAAGGATTAGTAAGAGGTCTTTCTAAACAGCGGAAATTTGTTCAACAAAGACACTACCGCAGAAAGTTCTAACCATCCCATCCGAGAAAGCAAAAACATTATCACCACCAATCACGACAGAAAACAAATTTTCCGTTTAGTTACTGACAATGAGGTTTTCCTTGCTTCCCATCCTTACTACCTCTCTTCATCATCCCGACTCGTTCACCACAAACAAACGCCAGGATAGCAAGAGCAATGAAGCAAAGAAGCTTAGAGTAGCGCAACTTTGTCCACAAGGAAACATGGACATTGCCACCGAGATAACTGAACAAAATTAGTAATCTATCTTTTAAATCCATTGTTATGTGTGGACGTTTCAATATTTATTTCCTGGGTGAATCCTACAAAAGAGAGCGCTTTCTCAATTTACTGCATTCTTTTCATTCATATACTACAGTGTGTTCCTACACGGAATGTTTTTGAATCACAAAAAGCAATGGATCAAATTATAATTAACGAAACCATAACTAGATATGAAATAAAAAAAACTACTAATCTAGGTTAGAGTGTTCACAATGAACAAATTCTTACAATTACTAATAACATAATAATAAACGAGTGTCAGAGCATCAAAAAAGTTAACATAAAATTATTTGGACTACATGGTGAAGGAATCATGTAACACAGTTTATAATGCTGTTGACACAAATGAAAAGAGTTATATTTTTCTCATAGTTTTCATTTTATTTCATCACATGATTTCCTCTCAAAAAGAGAAAATCAAACATTTCATGGCATAATCACACAAGGAATTAAAACATCGTGTAAAAGCAAACGTACGCTTTACTTTGCTTCTAAATAACAATACCCGATTTTCATGTCTATATCCAAGAATACCAAAGAATGTTACGCAAAGTGAAAATTCAGACAAGAATAAAGAAAAATAATCAGGATATTTTGAACTCTAGTAACAAAACCAAGGCAATGTGGAATATCGTAAAGAAAACGACCACATCATCTCGGTACTTAGTAGAGAATGTTGTTTTAAAGGATAATGAAAGAGAAGCAATTAATCCGAAAAAAAGTGGCAAATCTCTTCAACCAACACTTTTCTAGAATGGAGGCTGCACTCACGAAGGGTCCAAAACCATAAAATTCAACATCATTCCCTTCCCAAAAAGTTTTCGACACGATGTTTATTTCCAAAACTTGAACTGAATTCTCGGAATAGTCAGTAAACTGAAAAATAAATATTAATCTGGTTTATATTAATTCATGGACTGTTTATTGACAACTAGTGTACCTGTCTTTATACTGAAACATTTTCCCTAACTTTATTTTAATGTTAGGGGTTCATAACTGATGTTTCTAATCTGCAGTAAAAAAACATTGAAAATACATTTTTTACAGAATCATGGATCTATCACATCTAAGTAAAAGTAGTACGTTTCCATAAAATGTCCATACTCAAATGCATTTATTCTTAAACAAACCAAAATCATAAAATTTGCCTCTGTTTTACAATAACAAAATGACCACCGAAAAAAAATTAACAAATTCACATACAATTATACAATCTTTGTAACACTTTGATGATAATTATAATAAAAAAGGAATCATCAACCACAATTTGTGACGTTATTTTCAAAGTCACAAATAGTAATATGAATAACATCGGTATGAGGGAAAATATTTACCATTTCACATTAATTAAATTTAAGATTCAACGTAAAATCACACAATACTCCCCTCCAAAATGATAAAAAGCATTAAACATGAAAACACTTAAAACAGTGCAATCTCTCACTACCATAAACTACGGGAAACTGTTTCAGAACAAAGAAATCACAATTTTGTGCTCTGTGGCATAATACTAAAATCCCCTAACTGGATACTGTTTTCCACCCGTTTAGATTTTCATTCATAATCCCAAGTGTGTTTCTTCATAAGCCACCTCCGTTACCAAGTGATTAAGTTCTATTTCTTCCACCAACGAGCACATAATGAAGTTCCTTTCCCCCGTCTCCTCCTCCCTTAGGCACGAATTCCGTCCAAATATCTAGTTCGCACTCCGAATTTTCAAAAACCTTTAACCAAGTCCCGTCCTTTCAACATGTCATTTACGTCCGATTACACCCATTCGGGCGATGTTATAACAAAATAATCGTTCAAGGAAGTACTTATCGTAATCTTGTGGATCGGTTCCTTCACCGTGATATCACGTCGAATCACGGTCGCCCCAGCCGCTCGTGTTGGCGGCTTCCAGACCAGCGCGTCGATGAGTGGCCGTTAAATGGCGCTCTGACGCACTGCTTGTGGCCGCAGACCCAAGGTCTGAGGCGTAGCTAGCAGCACCAACCGCTCGCGATGCGTTGCTCGCAATCCATAGTTACCCGCAGCGTACCACGGTCCAAGAACCATAAACGTCTTCTAGCTCGCACCAGAGAGTATATATCAAATTGCAACGAACAAATCCACAAAATCACACTTTCTTTTTAAAATTAGTTCGCAAAAGCCCCTGTACAGCGCTACTTGCCAGGGTGGCAGATAATGGCGGACTTACCTCCCCTCTCACCGTCTCCCCACCCACTCACTTGTCCCTCCCACCACTACTTTCAAATAAGGACGTTTTACCACCTATTAAGTGACACCCCCGGCGCGCACCGTCAGCACATAGTTTGCTGTCAGTTATTTTTACTGTTCCAGCAAGTCGCGAAACATCATCACTACTTTCACAAGCTTTATCGGTTTTGAGGATATCTTGCATCACGCAATCATCACTAAATAAATTCAACTCCTGCGTGCACCGCCACGCCTTGCTCTCGCTAATCTCCTCACACCGCCTCGTCTTGCGTACGTCCTTCCACTAACCGTCTCCTCTCATTCCCACCACGCTCTCTCCCGCGTCGGTGGGCACGGACACCACAATTCAAATGTCTCTGAATGTCTATCAATACGGGTTTCCAGCCTCTCGCTCGCGCTATTTGAATGTAGCGTTGTTATCTCGACAATATATGGACAACGGATACAATACACCCGTTAACTTACATTTTCAATGCTTCTTTATGCATAGGAATATTTCCAGATATTGTCAAAACGGCAAAAATTATACCACATTTTAAAAAAGGGTAATAAAATGAAATCCGAAATCACCGGCCGATTTCTGTCTCGTCAGTTTTCTCAAAAATGTTAGAGAGGCTTTTCTATACTCGAATTGAGACTTTTTCCAGGATAAACGAAGCGTTTTCAGACTCACAACACGGTTTTAGAAAATCAAAGTCTATGGAAACTGCCACTTTTTCTTAATGATGTTGATTTATCAAAGGACTAAAATGAATCACCCATTAGAATATTTTTAGATAATTCTAAAGCTTTTGACGTTATTGACCATATCACCTTGCTATCAAAGTTTCCTTCTTTTGGAATTCGTAGTATCATCATAAATTGCTTGACCTCAAAGATCGATATCAAAGAGTAGAAATACCGTACTGACAGTAAAGGACATTATTTACGTATCTCTCCGATTCTTCACCAATTGAATATGGGAACCCGCAAGATTCCATCATACGTCCTATTCTCTTTCTGTTATACGTAAACAATATGCCTTCGTCTATTAAAAACGGAAGAACGGTTCTGTTTGCCAATGACACGAATGTTCTTTGCAAAAAAGAAACAATAAATATTACGGTTTCAGAAGTTT